GTAAGACAAAATCATGGACAACTTCGACCTTTTCTCTATTATGATGTTATCTATTGGTTTATTTTGTATCTATTGGTTTATTTGTGAGGATTTGGGTCTTCCTTACTTTGAGTTGTAATCCATACTGAAGGCCACAAACCTTGATCTTCATCAGAGGTGTTTCAAGTTCTCCTTACTTGCAGCAAGCAAAGGGGTGTCATCTGCATACCACAGTTGTTAATAAGCCTTCCTCCAACCCTGATGCCACATTCTTCTCAGTAGACGAATCCATGCCTTTGCATTGTGGCGCTGGAGAAGAATATTGAAAGTACCATGGACTCCTAAAGGACAAACCAATCTATATTGGAAGAAGTAAAGCCAGAGTGCTCCTTAGAGGCAAGGATGGCAAGACTTTGTCCTGCATACTTTGGACATATTGTCAGGAGAGATCAGTCCCTGGAGAAGAACGTGATGTTTAGTAAAGTAGAAGGGCATCAAAAATGAGGAAGGTCCTCACAGAGATGGATTGACACAGTGGCTGCATCCATGGCCTCAGGCACAGGAACAATTGTGAGGATGGTGCAGGACCATATGGTGCTTCATTCTATTGTGCATAGGGTCACTATCGGTCAGAGCCGCTTGATGACACTAAACAACAACAAGGCCAAACATCATTTGACCTTATGATCCATTTAAATTTGCTCTATTTTCTAATATTTTCTGCTTTCTTTTTTGGTTGAGGTTTTATTTTGTTTGTTGGGTTTTCAATGTTTTTCTGTATATGAAATCCAGGGAAGGTAAATGTATAGAGTCAGTAACTAGATTAATGGTCCCTTTAGGGTGTGGCAGGGGAGCTTGGGGAGAAATGGGGAGCTAATAACAATGAGTACAAAATTGAAGAAAATGTTCCAAAGTTGATTATATTGAATGTATGATATGTGACCTATATGCCAATAAACTGTTGGGGGAAACTATTCCTCAGTGCACATTTAAAAAATGTTAAATTATGATTTAGGAAAAGGGTTAGAGCAGATCATCAATTTTACGTCCTATAATTTAGACACATTTTGTTTCAACTCATCCATTTCAATCTCCTCAATGTACCATCACTTACCCCACTACTTCCATGTGTTTCTGCTTCCATTTGATCTTAAATGGTTTGATTATTCAAGTATTAGGATGGGGGCTGTGTTCATTTCCAGGCCTGAAGGGTGACTGAAGACCATAGACTTGAGGGCCACCAGTCTCCATCAGACCAAGATGAATGGTCTCTTTTAGGACTTTGAGTTTGTTCCACGTTTCTCCCACTCTCTCTAGGACCTTCTAATGCAGTGGTTCTCAACCTTCCTAATGCTGTGACCCTTTATTTTATTTTATTTTATTTTTTTTAATGCTGTGACCCTTTAATACAGTTCCTTATGTTGTGGTAACCCCCTCAACCATAACATTATTTTCATTGCTACTTTATAACTGTCATTTTGCTACTGTTATGAAAAAGGCGACCCCCGTGGAAGGGTCGTTTGACCCCTAAAGGGGTCACAACCCACAGGTTGAGAACCGCTGTTCTAATGTGATCCTTTTTGGAGCAGTGGGTGATGGTCTCCTGGCACCATCTGGTATTAAGCTTGTAGAGCTAGATGTTTGCATGGTCCATTAGTCTATTGGGCTCGTTATTTCCATGACCTCAGTATATGGCTCTTATGTAGCCTGACTTTAGTGCAAGAAAAGACTCACCATGGGCCAACAAGTCACCATGAGGCCTGAACTACCTATCATGAACTGGGTATTGTCTGACTCGTGGAATCACAAAGTTGGATGTGCGCAGCAACACTCCATTGTTAAATGGAAGTGGTATATACGAGATCGGGCCAAAGCAGGACCTGAAGGGACAAGTAAGCTGCATGAAGAAGTGGCCCAAATGCCCACAGTCTCCACTCCTGTCACATTACCTCCT